CTCACTACTCACTGCTCACTAAGCACAAGTCACTACCCACTACGCAGTAATCACAAATCACTACGCACTACCCACTAACCACTATCCACTACTCACTACTCACACTTCACTACTAACTACTCACTGTCCAGAACTCACGACTCACTATCCACTACTCGCTACTCCCCACGCACTACACAGTACTCGCTACTCACAACTCGCTACTCCATACACCCTACTGGCTACCCAATACGCACCAAGCACTACCCACTACTCACTACGCACTACGCTCCCACTACTCACTACTCACTACTCCCTACTCACTACTCCCAACCCACTACTCACTACTCACTACTCGCGACTCACTACCCAATACTCAATACTCACTACTCACTAAAAACGGCTCACTGCCCACTAGTCAATACTCACTAAGCACTATTCACCACCCACTAACCATTACCAAATACTCACTACTGAGTACTCACAGTTCACTACTCACTGTTCACTGCCCACAACTCACTACTCACGATCCGCTGCTCGCTACTCGCTACTCCCTACTCCCTACACAGTATTCACTGCTCAGTTCTCACTGCTCACAACTCGCTATTACTCCCTACACCCTACTCGCTACCCACTAGTCACTAGTCACAAATCGCTACGCTACTCCCAATTCAATTCAATATTCAATCACTACTCACTACTCACGACTCATCCATTACGCAGTACGCACTACTCACTACTCACTACGCAAGATTCACTACCCACTACGCACTCCTCGCTACTCACTAGTCACTAGTAACAAGTCGATACTCACTAGTCACTACTCCCTACTCACTAGTCACTAGTAACAAGTCGCTATTCACTACCCACTATCAGTACTCACCACTCACAACTCACGACTCACTACTCACTACTCCCTACTCACTACTCGCTACCCCCTACGCACGACCCACTGCTCACTACTCACTACTCCCTACTCACTACTCACTACTCACTACTCACTACTCCCTACTCGCTACCCCCTACTCGCTATTCACTACTGACTACTCCCTCCTCACTACTTACTACTCACAGTGCCCTATTCGCGACTCACTACTCACTACTCGCTACTCCCTACTCGATACTCACTAATCACTACCCACTCCCCACTACCCACTATTCACTACTCACTACTCACTACTCACTACTCACCGCGCACTACTCACTACTCACTCCTCACTCCTCACTACTCGCTACGATCTACTCACTACTCACTATTCACTACTTACTACTCACTACCCACTACTATCTACTCACTACTCACTACTCACTATCCCGAGGACATACCCCCCCCTTGCGGAAGAAGCCCTCTCCCCGGTCCCCTGTTCGGCGCAAAGGGGGGGAGGGGGGGGGGGTTCGACCCCCCCCTTTCCAGCGCCAAGGGGGGGAGGGGGAGGGGGAGGTCCGGACCCCCCCCCTTCCTTTCAAAGGGGGGGGGGGGTTCGGATCCCCCCCCCCCTTAAGGGGGGGAAAGGGGGGCAGGGGAGGTGGGGGGTCAGACCTTTTCAACTACAGGGTGATCCACTGGCGCGCTTTCCATCTTCAGCCTCTTGTGCGCCCGGAAGCAGCGGCTGCTTGAACGCGATGTCCGCGGAACGAAGTTGGGGAGGAGTCTAACACCAGAAACCAGCCAGCTCAGACGCCCTTGGGCGAGCAGGCGGATCCCCGAGGACGCAAGCGGGATGACCTTTCCCCTTCCGGAGGCCTCAGCTGCAGAGGTGCTCTCTGCAAGTCTGCCTGCACTGCCCTCCGCGAGGGATCTCAGTCAAACGATACGAACGACGCTGCGGCCCGCTGCATATACAACGCCAGCCCAGGCAAATCACTGCCCGCTGCGAACCAGCGCCCGCTGGATCGGATTGATACATAAATCGCTCGCTTCACGCTGCGATTAACTGCTTTGAAGCCGCCCAGATGATCGCGGATAAACTCGTCTACGAGTTGTTTGTCCTCTGGCCTTGTTGCCTGTGCTCTCCGAACATCAACGAAATAGGCGGTCATTGATCTCAACGCTGCCAAGAGAGTTCTGTTGGCAATTGCGGTCACGCCGTATGCCAGCAACGTGCCGACGATCGCCAATGAAGCCTGAAGTCCAGCATGGACACGGCCTGCGGACGAAACCCCTGAGAAATCGATTCTCCTGCAGAAGACGAACAATATCGCTATACTCAAGATTGGTATCGCTAAACGGACCCAGCCCTTGTGGCAATCACATGTTAAGCAAAAGCCTCTCTCCGTCCCTCGTCCCGGTAAGCTAAAATTATACGGACGAGCTCTGAAGCGCACGAAAGCTTTGAAAGCGATATCGACTAGCCAAAGCAAAGCCCAGATGGCAGCATGAACTGGAGAGTCGAGAGCCTCGGCAACCCCCCATATCACAAATGCAAGAATGATCAACAGAAATACGGTGAGGAAAATCCAGACACGAGCTTTAATGAAGTACTCGGCAGCTTTGTTCGGCGATGGCACGAAGATTAGCTTGTCAGCTGGGGTGCATGCAATCTCGAAGACGCAAAAAGACCTGTCGAGGTAAGTCGGGCCCTTTGCCATACACCCATCTTCCACCGCCACCGTGCAGTTGATGTGCTGGATGACTTTGAATATCCGCCACCGTGCCGCAGGCACTGGGCTGAGTATCGCTTAACCGATCCCCATCCCCACCAGCGTGACCTGGGCCCCACTGGCCGAGGCCGATTTACACCCCTAAATGGGGATATAGGCCAGATCCTTCGGGTTTCGAGGGGTGTATTCCCAACTGGGGGGGTAATGTGGTGGGGGTCTCGAAGGGGATGGGGATGGGGATGGGGGTCGGTTAAACGATACTGATGGGCGGAGCGTTCTCAGGTCCCCAGGAGTCCTGAGCACTGTATACTGTTGCATACTGACACGCTCCCGAGGCCCCGCAGACCTCCCCTCCACGGGCTCGTCGCGTGGCGAGCTCCGGAGCGCCAGGGAGCACGAGCGGGAGTGCAGACCTCCGACGTGCCCGAGGGTGGCTGGTCCTGAGTGCTCGCGTTGGGGCCGCCCTGGTGCTCCTTCTCGGCGTACTCGTAAGTCGGGCGTGTCCCCCTACAGGGGGATTTGGGGCGACAAATGAAAATTACTCCAAAAATACCCCCCAAATGCAAAAACTCTGTATCTTAAAAAGGGACAAAAATCGACCCAATACTATTTTTTGACTATTTTTGGATATTCCCCCTGTAGAGGGACAGGCCCGACTTAAGCGTACTGAGTACCCTGGTGGTCAGGTCGAGAGACCGAAGCCGTCCAACACCAGTCGGTTCTCGCATGAGCATCCCATTGTCGCTTCTCCGATGTTCGGTCGTAACTAGCGGCCAAGATGGCCCATGAGGCTCCCAAAGTCGACAATTGACGACCCCCGAGGACCCCAAGAAGGACCCAAGGTGTCCCCAGCCAAACGGAACTTGAACGAACCGAATCCGCTCCCAGTAATGCCAGAGGACACCTAAAAAGCCATGAAGATGTCCCCCAGAAGGCATCAAGATGTTCCCAAGAGGCCCCAGATAGGCTCCAAAGTGGACCCCGCGAGATCCCCGAGCTCTAGCAGGCCGCAGTAATCCCACCGATATTGCAACTACGCCCTGCAGCCATAACCTTTACGGTGGCGGGATGGGCCGAAGACCAGTAGATGAGTGGCGGCTTGAAGTCCTTCGTGCACTGCCTGATCACGAAATAGTCGATCCAAAAATGCTGTGCAGAATCGGGCGCGCACTGGCGTGATAACAGGACTGGAACGCGATCCTTGAAGGCAACGAACTCGAGAAACCCCTGCACCTGGGTGTGCGACAGAAATACAGACGCTTTGGCGACCCCACCGCGCTTCTCTAACCCGCCACCGCGCAGCGCGGCCGAGGAGGCGTGTCGGGTCAACTGCTTGTTCGACCACTGCACCCACCTGCGCCACTGTGCCCCAATTCGCACCAGATGCGTCCCGCCGTTTGCATCACGTTGGACCCAGCTATCGTCCCTTGTGCCGTGGCTTCGCCGATGACCAGCAGACTCGATTATACGCCGCATGGGTCGGGGATCGCATTTCACGACGACGCCGCCCTCAGCTTGGGAAGTGTGTGTGTGTGTGTGCGTGTGCTTCCACGTTGTCCACCACGACGCAGTCAAGCACCAAGTCCGTCACCACGGCGTTGTGCAGTACCACGGTGAATCTCATAGTGGCGCCAGGCACCGAGTGGCGAACCAGCAGAAAGGCACTACGCTGGGATCTAGCCGCCTCACGGAATCGAGCACCCCCACAGGACCCACCACGACGGGCTCGAGCACCGCACCGCATCGCTACGATCCCGCACTGCGGCAGTTCGCGCAGTAGCACCAGCACTGCAGACAGGCACCTCAGCAGCCCCAGTCGCGGCTGCCGCTGCCACCCTTGCAGCATACGCCTGCGCACACCGCCTGCACATACGCCAGCAGTGTCGCCAACACCGCGAGCAGCGACCGCGCGAGCGGCACCACTGCCAGCTGCACCGCCGGAGCCTACAACACAGCTGCGTCCCCAACACCGCTTCTCGCGACCATGCCAGCGCCACCGCCAACGCCTTCGCCAGCAGCATCGAGACCACCGTGAACGCGACCACGCCGGCCGGCATCACCGCCAGCGCCTGGGCTAGTGACATCGCAAGCACCGTGAGCAGGGACCACCGACAGCCAGTGCCTACACCAGTGTCATCGACAGCACGGTTTCCTGCGACACCGCCAGCTTCACCGCCAGAAGCGCCGCGCGAAGCCGCACCAGGGCGTGGTGTATCGTGTGTGCTGTGTGGTGTTGTGTGTTGGGTATTGCGTGGTGTGTGTGTGTGCATGTTGTGCGTGGTGTGTGGTGTGTGCTGTGGGTTGTGGTAGGTGTTGCGCGTTATGGTATGTGGTGTGTGACGTGTGTTGTGTGTTGTGTATGCGGTGTGCTGCGTGTTGCTTGCTATGTTGTGGGCTGTGCGCTGTGTTGTGTGTGTGCTGGGTGGTGTGTGTGGTGTGTGGTATGTGTTGCGTGGTGTGCGGTGTGAGGTGTGAGTTGCGAGATGTGTGGTATGCGTTGTGAATTGTGTGTTGTGTGTTGTGTGTTGTGTAGTGTGTGTGTGTGTGTTGTGTGTTGATTGCTGTGTGTTGTGTGGTGTGTGGCGTGTAGGCGCATGCGTGCGTGCGTGTGTGTGTATGCGTGTGTGGGGGTGCATGGGTGCATGGGTGTGTGTGTGTGTTGTGTGTGCGTGTTGTGGATGCGTGCGTGTGTGTGTGTGTTGTGTGTTGTGTGTTGTGTGTTGTGTGTGTGCGTGCGTGCGTATGTGTATGTGTGTGCCGAAATGGGCGGGGGGCGCACATGGACGATGCCGTTGGGACCTTCGGTGGGGCTCCTTGTGAGGTCACGAAACGTGTGAGAGGTGTGCCGCAATGGGCGGGGTGACGGCATGTGGGCGCTGCCACTATGTGCTTCGGTTGAGCTCCCATTTGGGGCCATGAAACGTGTGAGGAGTGGGCCAATGATTACGAAGATGACGATGACAACGATGAAGATATGGTGATGATGATGATGATGATGATGCTGCTGCTGCTGCTGCTGATGATGATGATGGTGATGGTGATGGTGGTGGTGATGGTGATGAGGATGATCATGGCGATGAGGATGACGACGATGACGGCAACGACAATGATGATGACGACATGATGATGACACGCGGAAGGAAGAGAGGGAGCCAGGGAGGAGACCGCAGAAGAAGTGGAGCGCGGTGCTCCGGACTCAAGACGAGGACCCGACGCCACAGGATGGCTGGGACGAGTTCGACCGCTTCGCTCTCTGAGAAGCAGTCGCCAGGGCTGCCTTACGCCGCGTGCGCAAGATGTGATCTGAGGCTCCACGCCTCGGTGTCCCCACGACGGCTCTCTACACATACGAAGGAGCGAGCAAACATCAGCGGCGCACCCGTCCAACCTGAAGAGAGTGGCAAGATCAACGCGCCCCTCCAGCGCCCAGCAATCATATGGACACCCTCAGGGACCAGATCATAACCAGGAGGATGTGGAGGAGGAAGAGGGAGACGACGGTGAAGAGGAGCTCTTCGGTCGAAGCATGGCGGCAAGAGCGTGGGTCAAGAGCACGGGCCCCTTCGCCAAAGGTCTAAGGCCCCTTAGAGGTGCCCAAAACGCCAAGTGGCGGCAGCTGCATGCATGGCGTCACCTACGGGAGGCGAGGTCCCTTTTGGGCCCCCGCATGACGCCAAGGCGCGAGACTCCCCAGGCCCTGGGGGCGCAGCAAAGTGGTGGCAGCTGCACCACCTGCAGCACCCTGTGGAGGCGAAGCCTCCCTTGGGCCCCTTGAGGACCTCACTGCGCTGGACCAGGTACCCGAGGCTGCAGTCCAGTGGCGCGCCGACGCGCCGGGGAACTCTCCGGGGAGGCGAGGCCTCGCCCACCCGGGGCGGCACCGAGCTGGACCCCCGAGGGGCGCGACAGAGCCGCGACGCCGTGGGGCGCCGCCACGCTGGACTCCCGGCAACTGGCGGCAGAGGCTGCACGCCTGGCCACATGCCCGGGGAGCGGCGTGCAAGAGGAGCACCCACGGCGGGCGACAGGGCCGGGATCGCGGGGAGAGGCCGGAGAGAAGAGAGGCAGCGGGGGGGAGGTGGGGAGGAGGAGGAAAGGAGAAAGAAAAAGGAGAAAAAGAAGGAGGAGGGAAAAAAGGAGGAGGAGGAAAAGGGAGAGGAGGAGGAGGAGGAGGAGAAGGAGGAGGAGGAGGAGGAGGGGGAGGAGGAGGAGGGCCTGGAGGAGGGAGGTCTGGGAGCAGAGCTGCTGGTGGGGATGCTGCTTGGGCCCTGCCCCCTCCCTCCCCCCAACAGCAGGCGCGTCGGCGGAAGCGCAGCAGCGCAGCTGGACATCCACGCTTCGGCAACACTGAGATGCTCGTAATCGTGCTCGCCCAGCCATTTCCTGCAAGCCTCTGCGACGTCATAGCCTATATGAGCTTCACCGTAATGCTTAGTAATGAAATCCTCTCTGCCCTTTGACTCGAACCATTGCGCCCGGTTGTAGCCACTCATGACGACGGAGTACATCTCCAGCGCAGCGTCCATTGTCACGCCCAGCAGCAGGTGTGGGTCTTCCAAGCCCAGGTCACAGGCATCGTGACAGAGTCCCGTCCTGATGAGGGCGAAAACACACACGTGAACAGGTCTGCCAGCGTGGGCCCCAAACAGTGTGGTGTCGCCTTTGCAAGAAAATGCGTAGATGGTGCAGGATATATTGTGCAAGCTACGTGGTGAAAACTATGTGGGGCAATCGATGCTTACAACATTGAAGCCATCAAAAATAATCAAAATACTCAAACATTGAAAATTTTGAATATTTACAACCAAAAATTCAAACAATAGTCACCAGATTATGTTTTTACTATTTCTGAAGATCCCCCCTGTAGAGGGACAGGCCCGACCTAAAATTTGCCTCCGCCAGCTCCCGCCCTGCGGAACCGCCCTCGTCTTGCTTCCACCGGCCTCTGCCGAGGAAGAGGCGCCAACTCCTTCGACCCTCGCGCGCTTCGCGTGCGTCCGTCGACCGAAATTGCTAAATCAGGGCAAGCGCGCGGCGACGACCGCGTTTGTCTCTAATTACCCATCAATAATTCAAAAAAATGCAAAACAAAATTGTCGAGGCCCTGGTTTTGTTTCCTGGTGGGGGAGGGCCCGAGGAGCGCCCCGCGTGGGGAACCTCCGGAGGCCGCGCACCGCGTGCGCCAATTTTTTCGGGGAGGGAGAAAACCTCCGTCGTTGGCAAGCCGTGGCTTCGTGAAAAACCGACCTCGGGCCCCAACCTGGCGGGCGCCAGCCTTAAGTCGGGCCTGTCCCCCTACAGGGGGGATTTTGGACGAAAAATAAAAATACCTCAAAACAAATACTAAAAAGACACCAAAAAATATTCCCAAAATTGTCCCCAGAGTATGTTTTGACTATTTTTGAATATTTCTCCTGTAGAGGGACAGGCCCGACTGAAGGCCAGCCTGGAAAATGACGGCCGCGGCGCCCTCTCGAGAACCGAACGCAGACAGTTCACTGATCGACGCGTCAGGGTGGGGGTTCTGTCCACCCCGGAACGTGGGGAACATCCGGAAGCCACGCGCCGGATGCACTGTGGTCGCAGCGTCGGGCGGTCGCCCGCCCAGGTCCAAGCCTGCGCTGGGCCGCTGAAGAAGGGCGAGCTGCACAACAGCGGGCGGAAGGCTCCGCGGCACGTCGGCGCGCTCAGGCCGTGAGAGTCTTCGCGTGGGCTGTGCCACGCCCTCAGGTTCTGGGCTCTCGGTAGAAGCGGGACGATCGAAACGGGTACGGAAAGAATGGGCACGAAGACCGACAGCAATTCGTCACCGTTCTGAGCAGGATTTGCTGTAGGTGCCGCCGCGGGCCTCGGTCATTTGAGACTGGAGACCGCCCGCCCAACAGCGGCCGCTGTCGGTTTTGAACAACATGCGACGTTGGGAATCGTACCCGTATGATCCGCACCCTTTTTGGGCGCCCAGGTAGATAGAAGTTTTGCGAGATACGCGGCAGATCTGACTGGGATTGACCATGCGCATGCGGATTACCAGCGCGCCCGGCCGCAACAGGGACCGAGCGCTGGACAGAGACGCGGCCACGCGCGAGTCCCACTCTCGCCCCGGCTGGCCACGTCATGTGGATGGCCCCAGAAACTTTGGACCCTAACGTGATGGCGCCTCGCTTTACCTCGGCTGGTTTCCGCCGGCTTTCCGCTGGCGGAGCCATCCTCGTTTTACTTGTGCCAGCTTGCGCGGGCCCTCCGCCGACGGCGAAGGCACCGAAGGCGAGGCCCCTTCTGGAACGCGCCATACATACATACCTATTCCTCTTCCTATATATTTATAAGCCCGGGCGGGGGGAAAACCCATCAGGGCCCCCCCCCAAAACCGGACCCCCAGGATCTGGAGCTTTGGGACCCTCCAGACGGGCCTCGAAGCGTCCCTGGGCCTCGCAGGGCGTTTTGCCAAGCCTTCGCAGCACACCCAGGGCGATCAGGGGGGTCACCGGAGACGTCCCAAAGACCCCCAAGACAGCACAAGAGCGCTCCAAGAAGCCGTCATACCCCGAAAGATCGCTCAAAACGTACCAAGAGGCCTCCAAGAGCACCCCCAAGGAGGCCCCAAGAGGGGCAAATCGCTGATTATATGTAGGTTTTTGGTGCATTCGGGGTTCTCCTCTTTTCGGCTTCCCGACGCTCCAAGACGGCGGTCTCCTAGGCGTCCGAAGCCGCCTGGGAGGCTCTAAATTCGCCCCACAACCATCCGAAAGGCTTCCAGGCAGTCCAAGAGAGCCCCAAAACGGCACAACAGGGGTCCAAAATGGCCCTAAGAGAGCACCATGGCGGCCCAAGATGGCCCCAAGACAACCTCCCAAGCATTCCAAATCGTGACTGGTGCGTTCAGGGAGACTGCGGTTAGAGGCAGGTTGGCCTTAGGAAGCCCCAGAGGCCCCCAGAACACACCTTAGGAAGCCCCAGAGGCCCCCAGAACACACCCAGGAGGCCTCCTGAAGGCTTGAAGAAAGCCTGAGAACTTTGGTGAGGCCCCCAGAGGCTCTCCAAGGAGGAGCCTCCGCAAAAAGAGCTGCGGAGGATGGGGAGAATGCCCAGGGTATGGCGAGAATGAGGAACAATAAGCATGGAGGAAGGATAACGAACTACATTATTATAACGGCGATCCCAGAAAAGGCAGCAAGGAGTTATCGCTAAACTGTCGGCTTGACCTTCCTGCCATTTCCGCCTGCATACCAAAGTTCAAGGACCAAGGTGCATGGCGCGAAGCGCCACTGTAGTCTTGTGTATGTGTATATATGTGTATGTATATATATATATATATATATACATACATGTATATATATATGTGTGTGTGTGCATGTGTGTGCGAGTGTGTGTGTGTGAATGTGTGTGCGCGTGTATTTCTGTGAATGTGTGCGCGTGTGTG